CACCCTCTTATTGATCTTGGGTTCATCTTTCTCATAAGGCATGACTCCAGTGATAACATACATTTTTGATGTGCAGACTTTAAGTCTTTCTGCCATCTTATCTTCCAGATTGTTCCAGGGGCCTTTATTGAACTTTTCCATTTGAGGAGCAATATTTGTCAGGGTGAAGGTAGCCTCTTTGTCTTCTTCTGTCTTTTGGTGACCACTGGGGGTGAGGTGGCCTCTGGTATAACCAGAGTGTTTATAGTCTTCATTAACTGCCTGGCTGTTCTTCACATATTGGTCAGGATGTTTTTGGTACTGCATTCCTGTGTCGACTTTGTCTGATACCAGCTGAGTGACAACAAAGACAGACTTTTTATTTCTTTAGAAGCTACAAAGAGTATTTATCATTCTTCATACTGTGTGTGCAAATTGTGTTTCAGTGTGAGTTTGTGGGAATGTGTAACACTGAGAGCGTACTGTCATACTGCACAGTCATGTCATTTTAAAATGTGAGAGAGCAAATAAGATCCTACAGCCTTTTTTTAACCATCGTTTTATTAAAGATCATCTAATTTTGTGTATGTGTTCTTCTTTATCCTGTCCTGTTATTTATTCAGTTATTTTTGTGTTATTTAAGTTATTACATTATATGTGGTATAGTATGACAATATGTAAGGCAGGACAGGCAGGAGGAAAATAGCTGTTTTAAATGTGTTGCATATTGTTTGAGGTGATGGAGAACAATGTGGCAGTAAAATGCAGAGAATACACACTTCAACAAACAGTTAAAATCCAAACAGAGCAATTTTTTCACACTGTAACTATTGTTCTTCATCCTCTCTAAGAAAACCATTTTTAAAATACACCGTATCAGACAATGTTCTTAAAAGAGAGCAGTTCAAATACATGACTGTCTTTGAACATCACACAGTGATATTTTACACAGCTTACCCGTGGTTCAATCATCCAGTTTGTATTTTTGGGCCTAGGTCCATCTCCAGGACTGAGTATATACACAGAGAACAATGGTATACGACGGTTTCTGTCATACAGGGTGGCAAAGTGGTATTGATTTTCATAGTGCTGACATAATGCCTGGTAGCCGTCTCCACTGATGCCCTGTGGTATCGTTTCTGCGTAGAAAAATTCAATGCATGGTTTAAAGTCAGTAGTGATCTCTCCATAGCAGAGAACACTGATTAAGTTAAACAGTGATAAAAAAAAAATAAATAAATAAATTATCCACATCCTTCCTTTGAGACAGCTCTCACAGCAAAGTAGAAGGTAGACTGAACCTTTTTCCTGAAAGTGAGGGTTGGAGTTAAATACTGTCAGCCTCTGGGTGGTGGCAGTGATGGTGGCTGGTACTAATGCGGTTTTCGGTTTCAATATTTTTTTCGGTTTCGTTAAGGTGGCATCGTTCTGATTCCATAGATAAAGTGATAGATCTTTCAGCCCAATTCTACTTTTTCTGCATAACCCATCATACAAAATGTAATCAAATGAAAAAAGTCTCTTTCTAAAACTTGTTTTATTAGTTTTAATCTTTTAACTTTATGCATCAAGCAAACATTAAATTATATGCAACATTCTCTGACTGGAACATTTAAACCTATTTTCTGCACATTGCAGCACATAAAATAAAATATTTTTTTGTGTTTACACTCA